TGGGGGGTGTGGGTGGAGGTGGAGGTGTGGGGTGGAGGAGGTGGTGGGGTGGTGGAGGGGCTGGAGGGGTTGTGGGGGGTGGAGGGTTGTGGGGGTGGGGTGGGGTGGTGGAGGGGGTGTGGGGTGGGGAGGTGTGGGAGGGTGTGGGGTGGTGTGGAGGTGTGGGGTGTGGAGGGGGGGTGGAGGGGTGGGGTGGGGAGGAAGTGTGGGGTGGGTGGGAGGAAGTGTGGGGGTGTGGAGGGAAGGGAGGGGTGTGGAGGGGAAGTGTGGAGGGGTGGGAGGAGTGGGAGGGGGTGGAGGAAGTGGAGGGTGTGGGAGGAAGTGGGGGAGGTGGGTGTGGAGGAAGTGGGAGAGGGGTGGAGGGAGTGTGGAGGGGTGGAGGAAGTGTGGAGGGGGTGGAGGAAGGTGGAGGGTGTGGAGGAAGTGGAGGGGGTGTGGAGGAAGGGAGGGCGGTGTGGAGAGGGGTGTGGGGGTGTGGGGGGGTGGGAGGTGGGGAGAGGGGTGTGGTGGGGGGAGTGGGGTAGTGGGGAGGGGGTGGGGAGGGGGTGGGGGTGGGGTAGTGTGGGAGGGGTGTGGGGTGGGGTGGGGTGTGGGGGGGTGGGGTGTGGGGTAGGGAGGGGGTGGGGTAGTGGAGGGTAGGGGAGGGTGGGGTAGGGAGGGGGTGGGGTAGGGAGGGGTGGGGTAGTGTGGGAGGGGGCGTGGGGTAGTGGAGGGGGTGGAGGGTGGAGGGGCGTGGAGGGCGTGGAGGTGTGGAGGGGGGTGTAGTGTGTGGAGGGGGTGGGGGTGGTGGAGTGTGGGAGGGGTGGGGTGGAGGGGGTGGGTGGGGGTGTGGGGGGGTGGGGGTGGGGGGTGGGGTAGTGGGAGAGGGGGTGTGGGGAGGGGGGTAGTGGAGGGGGGTGGGGTAGTGTGGAGGGGTGGGGTGTGTGTGTGGGGGGGAGGGGTGTGGGGTAGTGGGGGGTGGGGGTGTGGGGGGGTGTGGGGGGTGTGGGAGGGGTGGGGTGGGGAGGGGGTGTGGGGTAGGTGGAGGGTGGGGTAGTGTGGAGGGGGGTAGGAGGGGTGGGGTAGTGTGTGTGTGTGGAGGGGTGGTGTGGGGAGGGTGTGGGGTAGTGTGGAGGAGGGGTAGTGTGGAGGGGGTTGTGGGGTGGTAAAGGTCCACAACAGCCCTGGATATCTACCTGGCTCTACAGTGGATTAGGTTCCTGTAGAATGAATCGGTAAATCATGAAGCATAATTATCTTTTCAATACTACAATATTACTACTTCAGCCATCACTAGCGTCCAACATACAGGAAATGTCGAGTAAATAATTGGATTCTAAGTGAAGAGGAAAATTTTGTCTGCTTATAAGCAAGTTAATTTGATATTCTGAATTTTTATTTCCAAAGGAGTGTTTGATGAGGTTACGATAGGCTTGTCTTTCTTAGGTTAGGGTCATGTTACAAAAGTGTTGGTTAGGTTAGGTCAGGTTTGGTGGAGTACAACGCTGGAGCCAGAGGTCAGGTGTGGGCGCGTGACCCTGGGTAATTAAGGGCAGTTTTATGTGGCGTGCAGCTGTACCATCACCACTAAACTACCAACATTAAACACCATTTTCACAAGGGGTGGGTTTGGCTCACGCATTTCGCGGGATTTCTGTTATGGCGGCAATAAAAGGTGGAGATATCGGCTGTGTGGAGCGTCAGTCGCCCACTGGGGTCGTTTGCTGGTCACCGACAAAATTCCCAACAGACAAAATTCCCAACAGAAAATCCCCCCCCAGCCCCCCAAAAAAAATAAATTACTGCAGACAAAATCCCGCAGGTAATCCTACTCGAGAATTTTCCACAGCACAAAACCTCACCTGTAAAATAGTGAACAGAATCCAACTAGAAGATATACAACACCTACACCACACCCCCAAAAAAAAAAGAAAGAACAAAATTACCACAACCACAAAGTCCTCAAAACTCCCACGTCCCTTCTAGGTTAAGTGAGACTTTGCCTGTTGGCTCCCGAGCGTCGGATTTCATACAGCGAGATGATGTCCGACACAATGATTCACCACTACTGCCAATCACAGTGTGTTTGTTTCCTTACTTTCTGGCGCTACCTCGATATTACATAGGTACTTCCACTCTAAACCTGAATAAACTGAGGCTGTATTATCGCCCTCTTTATTTTCACAAGTTTAAGAGGTTTAGTGTCGAAAAAATGTATGAAAACAGTGCCCCGTGAATGTACTACAGCAGGGTGTTTTTCAGCTGGAAGGGGCCATGTTTTTCAATTTGTTCAGCAGGGTTTTACGGAGCTGTTTCACACCCACCAACCATCACACACACACAATTGTAATCACAATATGTACAAGTATGTTAGAGTTTGTAGTTTACACCTCAGCTTTCTTACCAAAGAGATTTTTTTGGGGGGGGGCGTGAATTCAGCATTATTTGTTTGCCAACCAACGAGAATTTATACTGTTTGCGACGATCACTTTGGCGGGCTGAGGAACAATAACCCCTACCCGCTTCCTAGTGTACTGTCGACGCTGTTTATACATAAGTAACTCGCACACTAGTGATATATTCTACCCGGAACACTGAAAAAAAGGTGTTGTAGTTCGGTCGGGTTGTTTTGTCGTGTGCCCGTGTCCAGCCTTTTATTTGATGTTCTGTATTGGCCGCTCTCCTCTCCCTCACCCCATCCCTCCCCCTACCCTCCTCTTACACCTTCCCCATCCCCCCATCAGGTCCAATAGGGAACATATAGTAACAACTGAAGGATTTTTTATTTTCAACCATTTAACTGCTTGGCGCTGCTGCATATTACCTCCGAAACTCTTGAGGTGTCATTGAATCCTAAACAAAACTAATCGACTCAGACGTTCAACAGCTGGTAATACCTAGCCTCCAAACTTCTGGGTCATACACGCGATCGGTTTAAAGATTATGAAAGCTACTTCTCCCTATAAATTACGCCAGAATAAATTAATCTTATATCACAATCGCCCTTACCAACATGACTCTCATACAGACAACAGTGGAGAAGGGATACAGTCATCGTCAATTCACAAACACCACCAACAATAAAATAATAATTATATTAGAAACAATAATAACTGCAGCGGCATTATTTCGGTATGACGCCCACAGATGGAACACACATACACAAGACTACACCAGCTTAACACCACAACAGGCAAGAGAGCCACATGAGCCAAGAGAGGGTCACATGAGCCAACAGAGGGCCACATGAGTCTACAAAGAGCCACAGGAGGTAACAGAACATCAAAGGGGATTAAAAAGAGTACTAAGATGATGTCAACAGGTTCAACCCCCTAGGTGATACTTCTGAGAGGCAATGAACACTACTTAGAGGCACCGAACACTACTGAGAGGCACCGAACACTACTGAGAGGCACTGAACACTACTGAGAGACACTGAGAGTCATCAACAAGATCCAAGAAGGAATTATGGCCTCTCAGAAGCTGCCACGAGGATTAAAGAGGAACCCAGAGAATGTGTGTGTCTGAAACTGTACCAAGAGGAAGTAAGAAGCCCATATATAAGCAGCAAAAGGCACCAAGAAGGTCTGCTGAAAAGGTTAGGTGATGAATGCAAGAGCAAATAAGAGGAAATTCAAGAGGAACGCTAAACACAATATCAAGAGGTGTCAAGAAGGTCGAATAAGATAATTAGTCCCAAGATTCACCAAGAGGCTTAAAGAGGAACGTTAAAGAGCCCCCAGGGGAAAGTTTTAAGATGGCGGAACACACGGGCACACGATACTTAACTTCCTGGATTTTAATTTCAGAGTAACATTATTTTTAACCATTAATTTTTTTGCATATTTTTGTAGTTAATCTCTCTCTCTGGATCAGCTGAAGACTAAACCCTTCAAGGGACACAGGCTACCCTCATAAATATAATGAACCAACCCAGCACCTGAGATCGTAAACAATACACGAAAATGTTCAGCATTTTTTTTTTAATTTGCGTCTCCATAATATAATAAACAAGTAGCCATTACGTATGATATAATAGTAACAACTTTCAAAAAAAATGTACAGTACACCCTTATGTTAGGTTAGGGCTCCGTCTTTGTACATGGTCCCCATCTCTGTGTTGACACGACAGTCAGCTGACCTTTACACACCCTCGGCCCGCGGGGAAAATAACCAGGTTGGTCGCCCTGGTATTTACACTAAATCCTGCCAGAGGGTGGCGTGTGGCGGCGCTGGTAGTGACGACGTACGGCGGGAAGTACCATGGTAGTGACGAGGCATCAAGGGAAGTACTTTACCTTGATAGTGATAAAGTACCTCAAGGAAAATAACAAGACACACCAAGGAAATATCTGAAATGCATAAGGGAAGTACCAAAAGACAACAGGATAGTACCGAGAGACAAGAAGGAAGTACCAAGACACAAGAAGAAAGTACCAAGGTGACAAGGGAAGTACCAAGAGACAACAGGAAAGTACCAAGAGACAAGAGGGAAGTACCAAGGGACAAGAGGGAAGTATCAAGAGGACAAGGGAAGTACCATAACTCCACCAAGCCAATGATCATGATAAACTGACACAGGGTTTTGCCAAGCTCGCTACGACAGGTTATTTGTGAGAATAACGGAGAGAGAGAGAGAGAGAGAGAGAGAGAGCGAGTGTGTGTGTTAAGTGCATCATTTGTACCTACACCCTCCCTGGCTTCATTACAGACGAGCTCCCCGACACCCTACGATTTACGGTGCCAATAACACCATCACGACGCCCCGCCGCTTGCCAGGGTGGGTGGATGAAGCCAAGTAGGTACCACTCTAGCGGTCTTCTGCTGATCTATTCCACTATGACGACTCGTATCCTGTCAAGGGTTCGTGTGTGTGATTAATGGGGGGTGTATAACTCACCTAGTAGCCAGGAAGGTGAGACTACCTGTAGCCTCAGAGATAAGACACCTAGTAGCCAGGAAGGGGTGGGAGCTTACCTCTAAGTCTCTAGAAACAGAGGAGAAGAGACAAAGTGACTCACCTTGCGGCCAGGTCGGTGTGTGAGACTCGGTGAGACTCGAGGAAGGCCATCCCTGCTGCCACCTGCACTGCCACGCCCACCAGTCCCCCAACACTGTGTAGAAACTCACTGTTAGCATGGCACGTGGGCGGGGGAGATGGGAGGGGAAGGAAGAAAGGGAGGGGATGGGATAGAAGGAGAAGAAGAAAAGGAGGCGAGGATGGATGGGGAGGAAGGAGAAGTGTGAAAAAGTGTAAGTGGAAGGAGAGAAGATTAATGAGAGGTGGCAGAGATGGGGGTGGGATAACCTTACTATAATAACAAGTGCCATTAAACACTTGTGTTACCTTCACCTACTGTTACAGCAAGTATATTATAACAGTTACTGTCGGTGTGTGTATAACAACTACTGTCAGTGTGTGTATAACAACTACTGTCAGTGTGTGTATAACAACTACTGTCAGTGTGTGTATAACAACTACTGTCAGTGTGTGTATAACAACTACTGTCAGTGTGTGTATAACAACTACTGTCAGTGTGTGTATAACAACTACTGTCAGTGTGTGTATAACAACTGTCAGTGTGTGTATAACAACTACTGTCAGTGTGTGTATAACAACTACTGTCAGTGTGTATAACAACTACTGTCAGTGTGTGTATAACAACTACTGTCAGTGTGTGTATAACAACTACTGTCAGTGTGTATAACAACTACTGTCAGTGTGTGTATAACAACTACTGTCAGTGTGTGTATAACAACTACTGTCAGTGTGTATAACAACTACTGTCAGTGTGTGTATAAAAACTACTGTCAGTGTGTATAACAGCTACTGTCAGTGTGTGTATTCACTACTGTCAGTGTGTGTATAACAGCTACTGTCAGTGTGTGTAAGTGTGTATAACAACTACTGTCAGTGTGTGTATAACAACTACTGTCAGTGTGTGTATCAACTACTGTCAGTGTGTGTACCAGCTACTGTCAGTGTGTGTATAACACTACTGTCAGTGTGTGTATAACAACTACTGTCAGTGTGTGTATAACTACTACTGTCAGTGTGTGTATAACAACTACTGTCAGTGTGTGTACAACAACTACTGTCAGTGTGTGTACAACAACTACTGTCAGTGTGTGTATAACAACTACTGTCAGTGTGTGTATAACACTACTGTCAGTGTGTGTATAACAACTACTGTCAGTGTGTACAACAACTACTGTCAGTGTGTGTATAACAGCTACTGTCAGTGTGTGTATAACACTACTGTCAGTGTGTATAATCAGGTGTGTATAACAACTACTGTCAGTGTGTGTATAACTACTGTCAGTGTGTGTAAATACTGTCAGTGTGTGTACAACAACTACTGTCAGTGTGTGTATAACAACTACTGTCAGTGTGTGTATAACATACTGTCAGTGTGTGTATAACTACTACTGTCAGTGTGTGTATAACAGCTACTGTCAGTTGTATAACAACCGTGTATAACAACTACTGTCAGTGTGTGTACAACAACTACTGTCAGTGTGTTATTACTGTCAGTGTGTATAACAGCTACTGTCAGTGTGTGTGTATAACAGCTACTGTCAGTGTGTGTATAACAGCTACTGTCAGTGTGTGTATAACAGCTACTGTCAGTGTGTCATATCACACTAAATATCAACACAGTAGAGGTATGACGTGGACACCTACCTGATGGTGGAATGTGTGTGGACGTCTGGGCGTGTGATGGCGGTGTGGGCATAGTCAGCCGGGGCGAGGGTGCGGGCGTGCAGGTACTCTGGAAGGTGTGCATCTGCTTGGTACTCCAGCACCAGCGTCACGCCCACGGGTCCGCCCACCACCACCCCCAGCAGTCGGGTCAGGTTCTCGTGGTTGAGTGATGCCAACAACTGTGTGGGGGAGACAGCGAGGGATACTGAGCGAGCGTTAAAGTGTGCGACTGTATGAAAGAGAGACCGAGTGTGTCAGGTGGTGGTGACACTGTTAAGAATTGTTGATAGTGGGTGTGAGAGGAAGACAGCGAGTGATTTGAGAGATAATACGAGGTAGTGCGACAGGCAAGATAGAGAGATCATGTCATGCAAGTAAGGACAGGTAGTAATTGCTGCCATACTGATAATAGGGGTGGGTGCTATTGTCATACTGGTGTCATGGCTGAGAGCTGACTGACCTGTGCGTGGCGTGTTGCTGCCGGCGCTGCCTCGTGGGCAGTCACTGTGATTAATGCAGCCTGCTTTGGGGGCGGGGCCATGCTATCATCATCCACAAATCCTTGTGGTGCATCTTCCGAGACCACGCCCACCGACAGCTATTTCGAGTAAAAACGTTGTGTTCTAATTATATCCAAGTATTTCTGTTGTCTTATTTTGTGTATGTAAATGTTCGTATATTTTAACCGTATTTTACGACAAATATATTCAGATTAATGTGAGATGCAAAAGTATTGAACAATGTAGATCCTTGCCCTCCACTAACGTGTGACTTCTCTTCTAAAACACTAGACCAAGAGAGTCGCCACGAATGCTGACCAACTTGTAGGTATCTAAAAATACAATGTGCATGTAAAACACAACACGAGAATGGTTGTTTAAATTTATTAAAATACAAAGTTATGACTGAGCTTGCTGGGAGAGCGTGTGTAGGGCACCTACGGGCTCCACTAATGTCTTCAGATAAAGGCTATTTACAATGTCCTTTGATGTATGTGATGACGGAGTCGTTTGAGGGAGTTATACACCCACAACATCACTACCTCCTGTACTCCAACAGTTTGTGTACATAACTGCTCTTCAAGTCCACTTGTAAACATCGTATCAATGAGAATAGTGAAGCGTCCTCTACTTGTCCTCCCTTAAGTCAGTGTACAGTACATGGTGAAGAGTACTGTACAAGTTTGTGCAGAAAATAATGGAGTGCATGCCTGTGTTTTGGATGAGTACTTTCCTCAAAGAACTCCGTTAACACAAACATCAAGGGATTTTGTAAATAGCCTGTCAAAGAGAGTCCCAGCACCAGCCGTCTGTTTGTAACAAAGCAGATACAGCTTCGAGTAGCTCTTCAGTATACAAGGAGGCAGTGTGGGGTCACACGGCACTCGACAACCATCAATTCCTCAACTATACATTACACTAATTAATGTGCATTACCATAATGATGAAATCACTTACTTAACCTACAATCTGGACAATAATCTAGTTCATCACTGAACCACACTGTAATAGATAACTTATTTTTTCTAGAACGAATGTTGCGGATGCTTTATATACAGTACGTGTCCACAATGAGAAATACAACATACGAATTAAAAATGTGAATCAGTGTACAAATTGCTAGCCAAGGCTTATTAATTAAAATATAATTAATAGCCAAACACCACCAGTTGACTCACCGTAGCAAAGGCCCCTGAAGCCAGCATGCCCGTCCGGGTGATCCGCTCCGGGGCAAGCCGGCGTGTGTGTGGGTGTAGCCAGGTGGGTCGGGTCCTGCCGGTACACGCATGTCAGCCACGGACCAGTCACGGACGGTACCTGCCCCAGCGACACGGACGGTGGAGAGAGAGAGAAGAGTTATTAAAGCCAAGGGTCACGTCCACACTATCAGCCGCCCGGCAGGCTGTTGTAAAGGACACTAACGTAACTTACCCTTAACTTTTTAAAGCTGAACTATTCATATACATCTATAAGGTTAAATATTCTTTCACTAGAAATCATTACCGGTTCTAAAATTACTGTTACCCCTTATTACAGTCAAGGTTTGTAGGCTACTACCTTTAATAGAGTTATTACACACAATATATGGGAGGTAATACATATAAAGCGTGACAACTGCATTGTTATTATATATATATACTGTACATACTGAATAAATCTAAACTTGCATTGAATATCTATCTATCTATCACCAGAATACCCTATCCCCTGGTAGAAGGTAAAACTGTTCCCCAGCAGCTACACCGTCAGGAGTGGTAGGCGGGCGGTAATGAGGGGAGTTCACTAGTGTGGGTGCAGCGGAGGCTCCAGATACACTGTCAATAGCAACACTCGTGCTCGTGATGAAAAGATTTCCTGATGCAATTTACACTCGTCCTGTTCCTCGCCGACCTGCTCACAGTCTCACACCACTGAACACTACACAGGTGCCGACGCCTCTACTGCTTCTCAAATATTTCCTTGTAATTTGAGGAACATCGGTAAAGTAAGACTCCTAACCTACACGCAGTGCTCCAAGAAGTTGATTCGGTAGTTCCATTTGTGTAATACTGAGACATTCAAGTGAACCCGAGTCACCTCAAACGAAGGCTACAATAATGTTATTTGCCTACGGAATACAACCATTTACAAGTGTTGATAAGAATAACCAGTGTATTTGCGTCGTTTCATTAATGGCAAGTGTATACTAATGTTGTCAACCTCAATGCATAACGACTGATCTTAGACGAGGGCTTCAATAGTGTTACTCAGAAACTAACAAAGACGGGCGGTGGTGGGTGATGATCTGGAAGAGTGAGCGGTGTTTAAAGTGGTGGTGTCACTAAGTCACTCGGTGATCCCAACCTCCTGCTAAAACACCTCCAGAGAGCACCAAACTACCGTCGGGCAGCTCCTTAACCACTCCAGAAATTGTAGCTGTGGTGTCCTGCTGGTGGAGGGCACCACAGCTGCCATGCTCATCTCCCCAAGATGGGAACAGCTGCAGCAACCACGAGCCCTACACTAGCGCACGACACTAACTATGCATGAACAAAACTTAACTGGACAACACCTGCGAGTCCATCTCCAGGATTGAGGTACAACTTCAACAATAACAACAAGTCTTTGATCAGTACTAGCGTTAAAGGTTTGCAGTTCTGGGAATAACATGGAGAAATTCTACATCACAATACTAATCACTGCTGGGAATTTCTACATTAATAAATAAAAACTCTTTACACTCCCGGAACAGTAGTACTGCTCACTCCATCGATGTAGATCAAACTGCTCGTAACTGGAGTTCAGTTCTCTCAACTTATTGCCTCTCGTAAACTTCACAAAAAGCAAGACCTGGATTCTCAAAGGCCCATAAATTAATTTTAGCTACGCCAACAGATATAAGCGACACTCACTAACTGAAAAACTCAATCGCTGGAGAAAAATAGATTTATTTGTGATAGTCTGTTTTAATCTACCCAAACAACTTAAAACTGCCTTGCTAGACATAACACAGAGCTTCTTTCTATCATCACTCAAGAAGGTCACTCACGGCTGGGAAAATTTACTTGAACACTGACCTAGTGCGCCACTGAGAGGGGTTACTGTGTGTGTGTGTTTACTCTCACAGGGGATACAACACACACACAGTGACGACAGTTTGTGTGTAACTTGGACGCCACTATAACTGATGATGAGTGTGCCATCATGTCCAGTTATGTGGAAAAAATAGCATATAAACCTTTCAAGAATAGTGATTATCGTCTCCCCTGGTACCATAAAACAAGGCACTAGAGATATATATACTGTACATACGAGTATTTCCATCACCGACGCCGCCAGCACTCAACCTCAAATGTTTGTGTGTTAAATTATTCTCCTACAGGGTGATACAAAACACATACGAGAATCCAACGTCAGCTCCGTCAAACACAGGCACAATCATAACTGGAGTTAGAGAGAGCTGGGAATCTGCTACAAAGACAATAACGTTTCCTCAAGACGATTAACGGTGAGGAAACACTGCTCTGAAAGTACTACAAGTACCTAACACGGATTAAACACTAAAGTAACTGTGAGAAAGACTAATATACGCACGGGGGGAGAGAGAGAGAGAGAGAGAGACTAGATACAATATACAGTGCCTCATTCTTCACAACAAAAGGGGTCATTTCCTACACCTGTGTTGTATTATACGTTATATAAATCACACACACACACACACACACACACACACACACACACACACACACAAAAAACACAATTCTTGATGCACCTGTGTCATACTATACGTTGCAGTGTCCAGAATAATGATAAAACTAAGAGTTAATTTTTAGACACGTCCACAACATAAGCTGGTGGCCGACTTCCTCCCTGCCTGAAAAATATTGTTGTTTATCTTATGTTTCTCTCATTCTCACTTTCAACCATGAGAATAGTGCCAAAGAACATGGTAATATAACGCGCGCGCTTCAATATTTCACCGACATGATAATAACACTTCACCTTTTACCTGTTTTTATTATACCACAAAGGACAAACACTTTCGCCAAAAATCATGAATTTCGTCCGTACACGCCATCTGTAGCAAGTGGTGTGAAATTCCGTTGATAACTACTGGACGAGTCGAGTGTATGAACTATTGATAAGACATACAGACTGATATGATGAACACAGACACACTAAAAAAAATCCCTTTATCACCCGGCCTCGCCTAGGGGTCAAGTATAAAAAATATAAGGAAAGAAAAAAGAACGTCTCACTTTTAGTTACACACTACCTCTTGACTGTTACATTATTACACTCACTCACCTGTATCTGTCTCATTTCTCAAACGGGGTGGAATTGGCGGTGGCCGTGGCAGTGGCAGGCGGGAGATGGAGGCGAGGGTGACAGGGCGGGGGATGGGCGTGAAAGAGGAGGTGGAAGGGAAGGTGGAGGAGGACCTGAGGGCGGGGGTGGCGTCAGTGGCGTCAGGGTAAGGGCGGGGGTAGGGTGTCAGGGGGCTTCTGTAGGTCGTCGTAGAGGAGGCAGCTCCCTTCCTCGTAAGTGGGCAGTGGTGCTACCCATGATGTTCGTGCCCATGCCCACTCCCTCCATCAGGCTCTTCATGTCAAGGGTGTCCGGGGGAGGGCGGCGGAAAACACGAGGGGACGAGGTTTTGCCCCGTCTTCGTCGTAGCCATACCCCCGCCCACACCAGGACCAGGACGCCCACGCCCACACTGAAGCCCACAGCCACGCCCACGTAGGTACGGTGTTGATGAGCGGTGTAGACGGCCCACACGTCGGCAGGAGGTTCAGGTGGGCGGGCGGCGGTGTGTTCCTCAGGAGTGGTCACGGGGCGTCTCTCCCAGTCACTCAGACCACACCCACATGGCTCTATGGGAGACAACACTTAAGTAAAACAACGCCAGCACAAGCAATCAACATCGCCCATAATGGTAAGGTTATTGGAGCTGTACCAGACGAACGCTTCGCCATCTACCCTCTGCCTACAGTGGCGCTCTCAGATGTTCAGTACTACTCGTGCACCAGTATACTACACTGTGTATCTGACGCCATTAAGCTATAACCACCAGGAGGATTAATCTAGTCACCACCCCATAAATCTTACGTCACCACCCCATAAACCTTACGTCAGTACCCCATAAATATTAAGTCAGTATGTTAGTAAATCTTACGCCAACAAGCCATAAATCTTGTCACTAAGCCATAAATCTTACATCACAAAGACATAAATCTTACGTCACAAAATTATAAGTCTTACGCCACTAAGTTATAAATCTAACGTCACTACGCCATAAAGCGCTGTCATAAGGTTCGTAAACTTTGTCACTAGGACGTATAGTATATTTTGCGCCAGTGTGTGTGTGTGTGTGTGTGTGTGTGTGTGTGTGTGTGTGTGTGTGTTCCTTTTAAATACTCGACACAAACTTCTATCAAACTTTACTCTTTCATTTTTTTTCATCTCTGAGGGTCATCCCAGGTTGAGGTCACAAGATTAAAAGGTCATATGGTCGGCTCTTAATGCTGTTGAGTTACACTTTACACTCAGACCTTGAGATGTTCTCCAGGACGACTTAAGAGAATCCTTCCAAACTCCGGTCTCCAGATAAGTCCTCCATTATCACTGGCATTTACACATACTTAATGAACAAAATTCCCCCTCATCTCTTGCAAGGAATGACTAGGTTTCTTCATTTCTTTCCTTTTTGTTCCAAGTGTTAGGACATTACTGCCGGGAGCTGAGCAACACAAAAAAATATCAGTAGTGCCCCGAGGAGAGCCAAGATGAGACAAGTATTTTTGAAACGGAGGGTTTCACCAGACACGACACATGGACGTTAGCGGGGAGAGCAGCATCACATCCCTTGGCCCAGCCTCTCGTGATGTGTACGATCGACTCTCTTACCTCACACCTCTTACACACTTTTCTTCTCATCTCTCAGCTGCAACACCACGTTTCTAATAAAGTTAATATAGAATCACCATCTGCACAACTTTGACTTAAATCTATATTTATTTAACTTAAACTCCCTGGTCATGGTTCACTTGTGTGAAGGGGCAGAGGGCGAGGCTGGAGGCGGTGCAGGAGGTGGTCACCACATCAACTCTGAGAGGCGGTCATCAACGGGGGTAAGTCTCCCAACACACGCAGCTGACCCACTCGGTCCCTGTTTAACCTCACTTAACGTCCCTTCTTTATGAATACATCACCCAAAGACAAAACACACACATTTTATATATATATATATATATATATATATATATATATATATATATATATATATATATATATATATATATATATATATATATTTCACCAAACCAGATTATTAATCTTCCAGTGGGAGAATTTTTTTCTTCCATCCTTCCTTCCTTCCTTCGTGCATAAAATGAACAATCATTCTTTAATGTCTGTCCAATCATTGTAAACATATATTATGCTCTGCTGTTCTGTCATATTTACACCATTTAATACGAGAGCTGGCAGCATACTGTAGACCTCGCACAATACTACGACGTACTTCAACGAGGTCACAGCTGCAGGCAGGTGACGGTACCTAAAGACATGTTGTATTCACTTGTTAATTCTTGGTGATGTCATGAGCTTATCACTACAACAGGTCACGTTAGGTTGATATATTATTCACGTATTTAGCGGAAGTGACAGCACACGGCGTGAAGATCAATTGACAACAACTTCAAGGTCATAAATCTTTCTCAATACGGCCGCTATCAGACATTGGGGCGTAAACTCAGAGAAATAAATTTCCCCTCGAGTTGTCATATAAAACTTCGTCTTTTATCAAGGCCGCACCATCAGTGATTAATGCCGAGTGTGACGTCATCAGCCAGTCGAGCATGTAGACGAAATACAGGATTAAATATTTTTCATTTAAATTTTTTCAAGCTGTTTTTCAGACGTGATTCTTGTAGGCGACACCCAGGAAAAGTCCTCCTGTGAGACTGACCTTTCAATATTCATCAGGGTCATCATCAACGACTCTTAATTGGGTGTGTCTTTGTGATCTGCTGATTTCTTTTAAACTTTATTCTTAAAAAAACTTGATAATGACAGAGGAAGATCAAGTTTCACATTAGTTCGTCTGATTATTCATTCTGTTCAGACTGTCGGTAGTAGTAGCTGGTCGTCCGTCCCCGCGTGAGGTTGACGCTACACTGTTTCTACATATTTTTTCTACTAAACAAAATCCCACGAGAGAAAGTCCCACTAGCTCAGGTTTTTCACAGTCCTACCACCATTAAAGGTATGTTTAGATCTTGTTAGTGTAGTTAGGTTAAGTTATGGTAGGGCTACAAGAAAATAATGTTCGGTATGATGAATCACATAAACATAAGGTGACATATGGTGCAGTAACAAGGCTAGATTAGTTTAAACTACACCAGGGTAATTTAGGTGTACTAACACTAGGTTTAGAAACATTAGCTGAAACCACAACAGACCACGTCCAGGTAAAGGTTAATGTAGCGAGAGTTGGGGTACCATCAAGCAGGGTACACCACCCCCAGGTGTTCTCTTGCTGCTTCACCTGCTGACTACTGAGGCGGAGGGATTCTTACAGGATTCAACTATACTGTACAAGATGCCAACAAATGTATCATAAACGGACAGAAAGGTTGGCTGGGTGCGGGGTTATGGCTCTGTAGGAAGACTCTGAAAGGTGGTACTGTATATTCTTTGGGGGCATTCACTAGCATTTTAGTCTACACAAGGAGGAAATATAAAATATATATAATCTTGAATCTATATAATATGTTGGAGTCCTCAGAGAGATATAAATTCAAGGAGGATAAAGATAAGACAAACACATGTGGAGTGGAGGGCCGTGGTCGCCAACCCTTAGACTGGCTGATGAAACATTGACTGATTGATAACAAACACATCATATCGTAAACAGTGCCTAATACGGTCTTAGTTAACACAGTAATGGCCGGTGGGCTTTGGCCTCGATGGCACCCAGCTACCAGCCTCTGTTTCCGCTTCCGCTATAACGAGATAAAAATGAAAATGACAAAAATGTTGCAATTACTGTCGTCCATCAGCCCTGACATAAAAATTTCGGCGACATTGTCAATAGCCAACAGTTTTATGCGGGACGATTTTTATTTTACCTTTTTATTTCATATTCGATTTATTCACTATATTGATCCCTAGTGGACGATGGTTTACAACTTTAACGAAATATATTTGAACCATTTAACTACTTGTGTACAGAAGTCCCCAGAGTGTAGCAAGGTTAACGGAGAATGCTTACACCCTAGCGACGATGTTTAACCGTTCTCAAAGCCCCAGTTACGATAGTTTGCTAGAATAAGTCAAACAGACTGTCACCATTATCTTACACTGTACACGCCGCCCCGACAAGCGTGGTGGACGTGTACAACATTTATATACAACACACGACTTATGAGTATCGGTGTATCCTTCATATATGCCCTGTGGCAGTAGTCAGTGGGTCACGTCTGTTGTATGGAGCCTCGAGACGAGTTGATTGTTGACGAGTAATGTGAAGTGTAACAATATCTTTAATGTTCCAGTTTTTAAAGAGATATATAAATATAGTTGTTTATACAACATTTAGGCTGATATACTCGTAATATAGACTAATAGCACTACTGTATACTGATTTGTGCTCGCCAAGACCATGATGAGTCACTGTGGCGGCCCGAGTGTGGATTTATTTCGTGGTGAGCCACAAGGTTTTTCGTTCACCCTGAGTGCTCTTTCTTTGTCGCTTTAAGGATCGTCACTTGGGAGTGTATTTTTTTAAATTAGCATAATAATTACAAAACTTATTAATTTTACTTACGGGAGTCGGGGTAGACCTCAAGGATGTTGACTAAGTGGTTGACCTGACCTCCACCTGGAGGCTGGAGGCCGGTCGCTGCCGTAAGTCAAATGTGAGGTTCTGAGGTCCCTCGGGGGTGAGGTTGGAGGAAGCCCAGGTGGTGCTCACAGCTGTGTCATCCATAACCGAAGAGTTGAACCCAAACATTACTGTGGCCTTGATTCGGGCTGAAACACAACACAACCAATAATGTTTACATAAATATTGAGTATATATATATATATATATATATATATATATATATATATATATATATATATATAATATATATATAGAAAGAATATATATATATATATATATATATATATATCAGCTGCACTTAATTATTCATGCAGGCACTTCATTTCAAAGTAAATTAGATTGCTTACTGTAATTAGCAAACGAGATGCTCCATACATAATGGCCAATGTAAGTGCAGTCGCTAGTAGTTAGAGATACACACAAACACCAACCCTATATTAGCTCGATAGTAAGGTCCAGTATACCTTCCCAGAGATCCGCGGCGCTTGTTGAATCTAGTATAATATTAAAAGTAATAAACTAATGTTCATTACTCATTTTATTCAGTTACTTGAAAAAAAGATTCACCCATGGGTAAGGTTCACTGTCTCATACACCTGCCTGGTGATACTTGCACAACCATCTCCATCCTAACCCTTAACCCCTGGATACAACTGGCCTGAATCTTTCATCCCCCCGGCTCTTCACCTACTAGCACGTACCTGTCTCAGTAGCTATTAACGCCTTAATCACTTCCTTATGTTTGTAGTCACCCGCCTGCCTGCTGATAACCTCACCTGGGCACTGAGCTGGAGACTACCTGGGCACAGAGCTAGGACTCACCTGGGCACTGAGCTGGGAAACTCACCTGGGCACAGAGCTAGGAGACTCACCTGGGCACTGAGCTGGAGACTCACCTGGGCACTGAGCTGGGAAACCTACCTGGGCACAGAGCTGGGAAACTCACCTGGGCACAGAGCTGGGAAACCACCTGGGCACAGAGCTGGGAGACTACCTGGGCACAGAGCTAGGAGACTCACCTGGGCACTGAGCTGGGAAACCCACCTGGGCACAGAGCTAGGAGACTCACTGGGCACTGAGCTGGGAGACACCACCTGGGCACTGAGCTGGGAAACTCACCTGGGCACAGAGCTGGGAACCTCACCTGGGCACAGAGCTAGGAGACTCACCTGGGCATGCAGAGCTGGGAGACTCACCTGGGCATGCAGAGCTGGGAGACTCACCTGGGCACTGAGCTGGGAACTCACCTGGGCACTGAGCTGGGAACCACCTGGGCACTGAGCTGGGAAACCCACCTGGGCACTGAGCTGGGAGACTCACCTGGGCACTGAGCTGGGAGACTACCTGGGCACTGAGCTGGAGACTCACCTGGGCACTGAGCTGGGAGACTCACCTGGGCACTTGAGGCTGGGAGACTCACCTGGGCACTGAGCTGAGACACCTGGGCACTGAGCTGGGAGACTCACCTGGGCACTGAGCTGGGAGACTCACCTGGGCACAGAGCTGGGAGACTCACCTGGGCACTGAGCTGAGAGACTCACCTGGGCACTGAGCTGGGAGACTCACCTGGGCACTGAGGGCGAGATCACCTGGGCACTGAAGCTGGGAGACTCACCTGGGCACTGAGCTGGGAGACTCACCTGGGCACTGAGCTGGGAGACTCACCTGGGCACTCAGCTGGGAGACTTACCTGGGCACTCAGCTGGGCACTGAGCTGAGAGACTCACCTGGGCACTGAGCTGGGAGACTCACCCAGGCACTGAGCTGGGAGACTACCTGGGCACAGAGCTGGGAGACCACCTGGGCACTGAGCTGGGAGGTGATGAGGTAGAAGCACAGGGCGCGGAACCTTCTCATGACGTCGAAGGAAGACCATCACACCGTGTCCGGGGCTGGTTCTAGCCCTGGGGAGGTGGCGGTTAGTGACGGCGAGTAGTAGTGATGGTTAGTGACGGCGAGTAGTAGTGATGGTTAGTGACTTATGGTAGTAGTGATGGTTAGTGACGGCGAGAGTAGTAGTGATGGTTAGTGACGGCGAGTAGTAGTGATGGTTAGTGACGGCGAGTAGTAGTGATGGTTAGTGACGGCGAGTAGTGATGGTTAGTGACGGCGAGTAGTAGTGATGGTTAGTGACGGCGAGTAGTAGTGATGGTTAGTGACGGCGAGTAGTAGTGATGGTTAGTGACTGCGAGTAGTAGTGATGGTTAGTGACGACGAGTAGTAGTGATGGTTAGTGACTGCGAGTAGTAGTGATGGTTAGTGACTATGAGTAGTAGTGTATGGTTAGTGACTATGAGTAGGAGGTGGTGGTGGTAGTGTGGTGGTGGAGGGTGGGAATGGTGGTGGTAGGAGTGGTAGTAGTAATGAGGGTGGGAGAAAGGAGTGGTGGTGGTAGCAGGAGGTAGGTAGCAGGAGTGGTGTGTGGTGGCAGGCAGGTGGTGGTGGTAGCAGGAGTGGTGGTGGTGGTAGCAGGAGTGGTGGTGGAGGAGAGAAAGAGTGGTAGTGTGGTAGCAGGAGGAGTGGTGGTGGTGGTAGCAGTGAGTGGTGGTGGTGGTAGCAGAGTGGTGGTGGTGGTAGCAGTGAGTGGTGGTGGTGGTAGTGAGTGGTGGTGGTGGTGGTAGTAGTGAGTGGTGGTGGTGGTGGTGGTGGTGGTAGTAGTAGTGAGTGGTGGTGGGTGGTGGTGGTGGTGGTAGTAGTAGTGAGTGGTGGTGGTGGTGGTGGTAGTGAGTGGTGGTGGTGGTAGTAGTGAGTGGTGGGTAGTTGAGTGGTGGTGGTGGTAGTAGTGAGTGTGGTGGTGGTGGTGGTGGTGGTGGTAGTAGTGAGGGTGGTGGTGGTAGTAGTGAGGGTGGTGGTAGTAGTGAGTGGTGGTGTGGTAGTAGTGAGGTGGTGGTGGTAGTAGTAGTAGTAGTAGTAGTAGTAGTAGCTATAGCGCAGAGGTGGGCGCTCGAACTGGTTAACTACGTTACCGATAAGGGCAATGGTTTCAGCCTTAACAAACAAGAATTTACAGATGCCATTGCTCTAAGGTACGGTTAGTAGATGTATTTGGTCCTCCAAATGCGTGTGTGGCTATTCCTATGATGGCGATCACGCCATGGTTTGCAAGAAGGGCTTACGGAGGCATGACGAGGTAAGTGGATCTCACAGCAAATATGTTGAAGGAAATCTGCCGACGTCATGTAGAACCGACCTCCTTCCACTGGATGGCGAGATCCTCCAACACAGGACTTCAAACACATCTAACGAAGCCCGTTTACGTCAGTGCTCGAGGATTCTGGACGCGGGACAGCGAGCTTTCTTCGACATCAGGATTTGATCCCATGGCCGTTTGTCACCGTAACCTAGCTCGATGCTGCGCATAGGAGGAACGAGAACGACAAGAAGGGCATAAGGGGAGAGAATTCAAATGTTGATCAAGGCAGCTTCACCCTCTAGTGTTCACAACCTCTGGTGGATGGGCCCGTGCAAGAGGTTTCTTTACGCCAGACTCGCGGAGCTGATCTCCGAACAGAAGCAGCAGCCCAGAAGTTATGTCACAGCCCGATGATGTCGACTGTCCTTCTCTCCTTCGGTCGGCTTTGCTCTGCCCTCAGGGGAACGAGAGCTTGCCCCTACTCCGTCAACTGCCGCAGATATCGACTATGAGGCTACAGTCAATGAATGCCGCATGGATTCGTGGCTCAACTAATTTAACACAGATAGATAGTTAAGTATTTGTATTAGGATATTTAATATTAAGGTAAATAAATGGTGGCGAAGGTGTGGCTATTGGAGGCTGAGGCTGTAGTAGTAGTAGTAGTAGTAGTAGTAGTAGTAGTAGTAGTAGTAGGAGTGGTGGTGTGGTGGTGTGTGGGTGGTGGTAGTGAGTGGTGGTGGTAGTGAGTGGTGGTGGGTGGGAGGGTGGTGAGTGGTGGGAGGGTGGTGGTGGTGGGAGTGGTGGTGGTGGTCGGTGGTGGTGTGTGGTGGTGGTGAGTGGTAGTGAGTGGTGAGTGGTGGGTGAGTGGTGGTGGTGAGTGGTGGTGAGTGGTGGGTGAGGGTGGTGGTGTGGTGGGTGGTGGTTAGTGACGGCGGTAGTAGTGATGGTGAGTAGTAGTAGTAGTGGTGGTAGGGTGTGGTGGAGGGTAGTGAGTGGTGGTGTGGTAGGAGGTGTAGAGTGGTGGTGGTAGTGAGTGGTGGTGGTGGTAGTGAGTGGTGGTGGTGGTGGTAGGAGTGGTGGTGGTGGTGGTAGTGAGTGGTGGTGGTGGTAGTGAGTGGTGGTGGTGGTGGTAGTGAGTGGTGGTGGTGGTGGTGGTAGTGATTGGTGGTGGGATACAGGGTAGTGGTGGTTGTTGAAGTTCATCAGAAAGCTGTTACTATCACTCATTACTCCCTGTCAACACGGCTGGAGGGGGAGGATCATGTGGTGTCTTGGTCTGTATATTTTTGTGTGTGTGTGTGTCCACCTACAGGAGCACCACACACACTACCTGGCCACCTGCAGGAGCACCACACACACTGCCTGGCCACCTGCAGGAGCACCACGGTGTTCCTCTAAAAATATGCAGCCGAAAAGGCCAATAAATTATCATAATTTGGCTATTTACGGTAAAAAATTCGGAAAATTCAAATAAAATTGCTTTCATCTTCTTCTGAACAAAGCTTCATATATATACACACACTGTATATATACTGTATAATGAACCGTGCGTAAGAACCTTGGTGGGGAGGAGGGTGATTACGCCGCCACGTCCTACATAGTGGGGCATAAAAAATAATTTCTTGGAAGGTAAAACTGTGTGAATTATTTACCTTCGACCTGGATCAGCTCCTGGGCGTCTAGAAGTGTTGCATCAAGCTCCTCCTGGCCGCCCACACGCCCGTCATACAGCATCCCCTCACCGACACTCACTGGGTCTCCCACGCCCGCGCCCACGTATGTCTTAGACCTGCCCACACTGTAGCTCAATAGCCCGTCTGTAACACACAGAGTAGAGATGTTAGGGGCTCTGCACAATAATAACACATTATATATTATTATTATTATTATTATTATTATTATTATTATTATTATTATTATTATTATTATTATTATTATTATTATTATTATTATTATTATTATTATTATTATTATTATTATACACACACACACACATAATAATACTAGTAAGAAATATATTACCAAAAATGCATTATTCCTACAATTCCCAACGACTACTTTTTGGGAGGGGGAGAGGAAATTGTCGAGTTTGAACATAAAAATATATAACCTTGGCAGCTGAAACAGCAAACTCTACAACAACAACAACAACAGGAGGTGCTGTAGACGAGGAGAATAAGAGTGTGGTTCACTGTTACTGTCAGTGAACACCGATGATTACTGATGGAGAGTGAATGTAGTCTGGCTGGGCAGAGGATGAGAGGGTGGCTCCTCCATCCCCTTCACCTCCCTCACCCCAACCCTTCCTTCTCCATCCTATTCCCCTCCTTCACCCTACCCTTCCTCCTCCGTCACCCTACCCTTCCTCCTCCGTCACCCTACTCTCCTCCGTCACCCTACCCTTCCTCCTCCGTCACCCCACTCCTCTCACCCATCTTCCTCCCACTACTCCCTCTCCTCCTTCACCCCACCCTCCTCCTCCCCACCTCCTACTCCTCCTCTCAATTTCACCCCACCTCACCACCTCCTCCTCCATCCCCAATCACCAATTACCACTCACAATCACCAACCCACAAGACACAATCATCACCTCACAATCACCAAGAGTGGGGAGAGAACTCCTGTCGGCCGTCAAGGAAAAAGTTTCTAATGACTGTTATTTCTGAAGACGGCAGCAGCAATAATAACTATAAACACAATGCCACGCAACACAATACAACATAACACAATACAATCTAATACAAAACAATACAATACAAACTAACAATATAATACAACCTATCACAATACAACATAACACAACACAATTCAACATAACCTAACACAATACAAATACACAAACCATCTTCTTCCTCATAGTAAATCAGTATAAGAAGTCTAACACAACACCATATTATTTGTTTTGTTTTTTCTTACGTTGAACCTTTGAAGTAACACCGTCACACAGTTGAGTACTTAGACAACCAACCAACAGAGCCAGGCTGATCCTCACATCAACCCACGATTTCCAACTTAAAACCCAGGATTAGTTAGTTAGGTAAGGGGTGGGGTTGGGGGTGGGGTTGGGGTTGAAGGAGGCTGGGGTTGGGGCTGGGTGGGTTGGGGTGGGGTTGGGGCTGGGGTTAGGGGTGGGGGCTGGGGTGGGTTGCTGAGGTCAGTTGGGCTGTGAAGGGGTAATAGGTTAAGGCGGAATGGGAAGGTTTGGTTGGTTAGGTTAGAGAGACTAGATAAGGTTAGGGTTACGTTGCTAGGTTACGTTGAAGTTAGGTTAAGTCTGCTAGGTTAAAGTTCTGCCTGTCAGATTACGTTAGAATCCGAACTGATTTGCACTCACACACCACCTGGATCTAAGACTGCCTCTCAAACTGGTAATTCACGATCCGACATTTATATAAAACAGTGTTAGCGCCGACTGGGATTAACTCTGCAGTTTACCAATCTCTTTTGCCAGGGGCACACAGCGGCTCTGGAACACCTGCTGTTTTTATGAGGGGGTGGAGGAAGGTAGAGCTTTATAGAGGTGGAGGTAGAGCTGTTTGAGGTGGTGGAGGGAAGGTAGAGCTTTATAGAGGGTGGTGGAGGGAAGGTAGAGCTTATAGAGGTGGTGGAGGAAGGTAGAGCTTATAGAAGGTGGTGGAGGGAAGGTAGAGCTTTATAGAGGAAAGGTAGAGCCTGGTAGGCTGGGATAACATTAACAACATTCCTCCGTGGATGACAATTAACACCCAGAACTCGATGTTAATATTGAAGCCCACAGGATTAGTTAGGGTTAAAATAGGGGAGGGAGGCCTTTACACGAGGAGAATTTTCCCACACTATTGGACGTAGGGAAGGAGGAGTGGGGAGAGAGGAAGGGGGGAGGGGGAGGGAGGGGATGAGGAGATGTAGGGTGGAGGAGGAAGAGGCCCAGGCCCATCTGCCACATCTGGTGTAAAGATTACCATCATCTGGCGAGAACTGATCAGGTGGGCGAGGCATCTTGACGTGCTGCTTACGCCACCAACACCTACCCTTGGGGATTTTGAAGGGTGGGGATGAGGTGAGGTGTGGTGTTTAACCTTATCCTCGCCACCATCCATCGCCCACTACATGATAATCTTCGTCCACATCATCCATTGTTTCACTTGCAGCCAACCCCACACTTTCTGCCCTACCCTTCAACCCATCCTCCTCAATCTAGGTGCCTCCCCATCACCCACCCTCACCCATCAACCCCTCTGTACGTTCCATCCGCTCATCCATCATCCCCCATCTTCACACACCCGTCATCCACCCTCACCCATGATCCTCCTCAATCAGCCACACTCATCCATCATCCTTCCCTGCCCTCAGTCCCACCCTCACCCATCATACCTACAGTACAATACCCTGTTCCATCTAATCATCCAGCCTTTGTGTCTTCCTCATCACCCGTGTAGATGAAGGTGCATGGGGGGTACCTGTGTCGTACCTGTGTAGTTACAGCCATACAGTTCGAGGCGTAGGCAGACGACCCTGGTGTGGGCGCTGAAGGGGTGGAGGCGGACTGGCCAGGAGGGAGAACGAAGTGCCTTCTATGTGTTGTTACCACGAGCAGCGTCTGGTGGAGAAATTACTATATGTTAGAGACACAGTTAACATGTTAATATTAAATACATTACTTAGTTAACAGGTCTTACCCAGCATCAGAGTCTGTCATAAACAAATATCTATACTAGAATTAGGATTGAGGACGAAGAAGTGTTGCTGTCAGGTAACAAAGTAGAATTATGTGTTATCCTCTGGCAGCGTGTGGTGAAGACAATCAATGGACATATTACAAGGATAAAGCCATGATAGATAAACCTACACCACAATTAAATGAACAAAATCCTATCAGCCAACATTATATACACGTAATATATATTTAGATTTAAATATAACCAAATTATCAAGTATCCAATTAGTGAGTAAATAATTTCACCTTGGAAAAAATGGTGAGCAAATACTGTACCTCAGCCAGGGAATGTTTTCTTAAATGTAAGTCTGGTGGCATGAGAGAACACACCTGGGCCCACTGATGGTATCCGTACAAAAACCATCCCAAGGCCTGGGCAAATTCCGCCTGGACCGCCGGGGAAACGGACAGAAACAAGATGTGAGAAGAAAAAATTCCCTCACTCGGCCTATTCCAGGAAAACTACCAGGGGGTTGTGAAGGTCTGAGGAACATAAGAAATACAAGAATGGATGAAACTGCAGCAGACCTATTAATAATACTTAGGCAGCCAGCTTTACACCCAACCCCTATCGCTCATATATCCATCCAATCTATGTTTGAAGCTACCCAGCGAGTTCGAGTTAATGATTAGTGCTGGTGTTGTTCCAATCACTACTCTATTTACAAACCAGTATTTACCTATCTCAAAAGCAAATCTAAGTTTGTCTAACTTAAAACCATTGTTACGAGATCGCCCTGTTTGATAGTTTAAATACCTTTGTTATATCACCTTTGCTTAAACCGGACTTCCATTTATACACCTCGACCATATCGCCCCTCACTCTACGTCTCTCTGATAACACAACATACATATACAGGAGATAATGTACAGTAGTTTTAACTCTTGACCTGTTTAATATGATTTATTTAATTATGGTTCTTTATTTGTATTTTATTATTTTATTTTTTATTGATTTTTTTATTAATTATCATTATTATTAGTCCGCTGGAGCATCTCTAAAAAAATGCAAGTCAACTTATTATTAAGAACGCAGACGGTGCATATTAGGTCACATAATTATACAGTAGTCTGTCTGCCTGTGAGATGAACTGTTTAACTCAAATGTCAGACCCAATGAAAGAGGCAGGACAATGTTTAATTGGTATATTACAACAGCCACAAAAGAGCTGGGGTGCTCATCAAACTCCACGCTGTTGGTTAAGAGCTCATTTACCCCCTTTTATTAGAAATTTTCTCACTGACAGGAAGTTTGTCAAAATCTCTAAATTTAACGTAAAGTCGGACACATTTGTCCAAGAAAAGCCCAGGGCAGTGTTCTTGGTCCGGTTCTTTTTAATTATGATCTCACTGTTCGTCGATGACTGTGCATTGTGGCACTACGGCGCCGATGATCAACTTGTATTTTTCACTGCACGCCCGCCAGGTAAATAGGCCTGTCGTAATCTTTGGTAAGGTTTAATATTTGTTTTCAATAGAAAAACTGAAAACAATAGCACTACTACTAGTACTAATATCAACACCATAATTAAACATAATCCGAGCGGGTGCAAATTAATACAGGTATAGTCGTAGCTGAAGGCTGTCTCATGTCATCGTTTTTTAATTCCCACATCCTATAACCCATGAATCACTTGGTCAATTTCAACAATTTACACGAAACGTTTAACATGTGGACCATGATGATCAAAACCTCGAATTTGGCGCACATCTGCACACCCGTTCTCGAGTTACTACTATGGAGACAGACAGACAAACAACATCCTGACCCACAATTGTGAGAAGGACAATAAAGCAAAATATTAAAACAAATTAAATGAAGTTAAAAGTAGGATGAACTTTCAGGAGTAAGCATTAGTGTAACATTCCTGGTCTGAGGTAGCAGTGTAGCCAAACTTCCCTCAATTATTAACACTTAACATCCTAACTTGTGAACTGGACCGAAAAGACGGCCAGTGAGGGGAGATCAGGGTGTGTGGTGAGGCGTGGTGTCCTCGGCGGTGGTGTAAGAGGAGGTGATGGTCACGGTCAACAACAACACACCGCCTACACTCCATTAACATTATACATGTGGTACTTGATTTGGCTT